CATCAAGAAAAGGAACGCGTTAAAGTAACGCCACATACTTTTCCCATGAAAAAGGAACTAGTTACCGGTTCCGTTACCCTCCCTTGAAAAGTAACTCGTTACCTCAAAAGTTACTGAAAAAAGTAATTAGTTACTGTAACGCGTTACTTTTACTTCGTTACCGCCCAACACTGCCAATGCTGTCAGTTCCTTGTCAGCTCATTGTCATTTAACCCAATGTATTGTGGTTGAATCCTAGAATATCTCTAAAAAATGAAATTGCTACATACTATCTAATTATTTGAAAGGCAGATAAATTTTCCTTGCATCTGAAGAGGCTGTGTCTTTGAGGGAAAAAAGTCCTCCCATCCAATAGATTGGTATGATCATGATGGAGTTTGAGTTACTTAGAGGCAGTGGCACACTGAGGATTTGGTATGGGGGAGGGTCTGTACCCCATTCCTACAACCATGAGGGAGCGCAGGGTTGCTGATATGTTGGAGTGAGTGGAGGAGTGAGCTGGGACATGTAGACTAGGCTGCTTATATTCATACATGCCTTATACTGGGGATTTCAGCCTAAGGAGAGCAAAAAATTCTACAATTTCTAAAATTCAGACCCCCAAAGCCTACCCTACATGTACCTCTGGAGAGGAGTTGGAGTTTCAGTAGAATACAATATCAAGTGCCAGTGTCACTCATACTAACAATGGATCACCCTTGTATAGAACTTGCAAGGATATCATAAAGAACCAGATACATATGACAGATTGAATAAAAAAAGAACCTGTATTATCCATAAGAAACTGGGAAGACATCACAACAGAAAGATCAGCAAAGAGATGATGGTATGGAAGTTCCATGATTGTCATTCATCACAGTAAGTTTGGAATCACACCAAAGCTTGATGAATCATGAGGCCTCAAAATGGAAATAAATGTAAGCACTGGGTTTTTAATTTGGAAGGAGACTGCTATCCACAGTTGAAAAATATTAACTCGTATTCAAAACTCACCACTGTGGACAGAGTTTGTCGATCCTTGGCTCATCATGTGACTTCCACTGGAGTGGGAATGATCATCAACATTATTCTGGTCATCTGTCATTGCAGTATTGACATACCCATTTTGAACATTTTCTTCTTTTAGTTCTACATCTTTATTGTCCAGGAGCTTGTGCAAGCTCAATAGGGAAGCTTGGAGGGATTGTAGCTGGTTCTTCACTTGCCCTAGAGTTTCTTCTGACTTGTCAACTTTCTGCTCCAAATAATCCATCTGGGTATCTCTCAGATTTCGATCACTAATCAGTGTGTTCAGCATGCCCTTCATCTGCTCCATGTGCTCCATGCTCTCACCCCACTCAAATGCGTCGTTATCTGATGGGCTCGAGTAGACGGAATACCCACGTATTGCATTTCGCTGCGCATTAAAAGTCTTGCGCTTCGTCTTCGCCAATCTGAATGCAGACTCCACAATATCCCTTGGAAGGCGTTTGTCCCGTGGGTCATTTGGACGGATGTAGATGGTCCATCTATAGGCTTCAGGAACCACAAGAGCTGCCTTGTGGAGAATATTGAGAATTTTGGAGGGCAACATAGAAAACCACTTGCTGAAGATGGTGGACTCGATGTGCGCTATGAGCTCAGTTTGACGAACCAGTCGCTCCAGGCCTGCTGTCTTTTGGAGGCCCTGGATATCGTTAACAGCCAGACCAACCAACAGGTTCATTAAGATGATGCTCACTATTAGGAGGTACAAGAGGAAAATGACATGAGATGTACCAGGAAATTCACTTTTGTCATCGCTGGCATCACTGCTATTGCTATCTTTTTTGTTTCCTGTATTGAAGAAGAGCACATCTGAGTATTCAAATTCTCCTGTCATCATGACCAGTGTTGTGATGAAGGCCTCGCCTGGATTCATAAATTGATCCTTATTGTGAAACAGCACCATAAAGCTCAAGCAGAAGGCTACAATCAGGCAAGAATATGCAAATAAGAACTTTGCAAAGTCCTTGAGGACGATTGCGAACATTTGGATGTAGAGACCGAAGAGGGGAAACCGTCCTATTAAGAGCATCATCTCGGTCCAGGCGAAAAGAATCGCTGAGGCTGCTAGATGATATGTCCATGTGGGGAGAAATGCCTCCTCATAATGTAGTTTGATGAGGAACATTGTTTGAACGATTATGGCCCACTGGAGAAAGTTCTCCCACAGTTGAAAGTATTCTTTCACACCCTGGCTTATCTGAAACACCTCTTTTAGAAGCAAAGCAAAAAGAAACACTAGCATGGAGTACCAAATGACCTGGATTAATGGTCCCTGCAGAAATTCTTCTCTTCCCTGTTCCGTCTCCAGATGTTTGCAGGCAGTAGAGTTTGCATGTCCTCGCTTTAGACATTCTTCTCGGTAGACTTTGAGAATATATCCGGTGAGAAGCACCACGAAGAAGAGGTAGAAAACAAGGTTGAAGAAAAAGAACTTTCTGACTTTGAGCCACTTGAGATACAGAAAACTTTCACAAAGTGGATGCCTGAGAAGTCTACGCTGTCCACAATTGATGAGATGAACAAACAGTGATGTCTCGCTCTTATGACCTTGTGGTACCAGAACGCTATAATTCAGCTTGAGTTCCATGTCCCGGTCGTTCATTTCGTCGTTGAGGGTGACGCTTTCGTCGAACATCTCCCGAAACTTGGCCAAAGAACTGGGACTTTTCCTGACAATGTACTGCAGAGCCGTGATTCCACCATTGGTTTTGATAGTCACGTCTGCCCCATATTCGAGGAGCATTTTGACACACGATGAGTATTCGTTCAATGCAGCAAGGTGAAGTGGAGTGTATCCAAAGGAATCCTGCATATTTGGACTAGCTTTGGCTTCCAGTAGGACACGCACGTTGTCGAAGTTCCTCGCGCCTTTGACGATTGCAGCGTGAAGAGGAGTTCTTTTGTCCGCATCTTGCGAGTTTGGGTCCGACCCTGCTTGAACCAAAGCCAGTACGCTTTCGGTGGATTGGGCCAAGGCAGCCAAATGAAGTGGAGTTCGCCCGCGATTATTGGTCGCGTGGACGTCACTCCCTGCTTTCAGAAGGAGTTTCACGCATTCCGAGGCACCGTCTTCGGCTGCCAGGTGAAGAGGAGTCATTCGACTCACTCCTCTCAACGACCGCGTGTCTCCGCCGTGCTGGAGGAGCATGTCCAAGCATTGGACGAATCCCTCGCCAGCTGCCACGTGGACGGGGGTCTCGCTGTAGGCCTGGATGAAATTCACTTCTGCATCGTGCTGGAGGAGATAAGAAACGCATTCCACTGCATTGGCAGTAACGGCATATTTGAGCGCAGACACGCCATGTGTGAGGACGCCTGCATTGATGTTAGCCCCATGATTCACCAAGAACCTGATGCATTCCAGGGACCCGGCCATGGCAGCACAACACAACGGTGTCACTTTGTGTTCCTTGTCCCATACATCGATGGTAGCCTTGCCACGGACCAGTCTTTTCACACATTCGTAGGCACCTGTAAGAGTTGCCAGATGTAAAGGTCTGCGTCCGAAGCTGTCTTGAGTGTCCACATCTGCTCCTAGGTGGAGGAAATGCCTGACATGTGTCACGTCCCCTTTGAAAGCCGAGGCCAAGAGCCCGATATTCCACACTAGGGGATCTGCCTCTTTAAAATCGTCTTCGGATACTGGAAGGGTCCCCTCCAAGACGCTGTCGAGAATCCTGGATGCACCCGGCGTACCATGAGTCATTTCCCGAAGGGTCAAAATGACATGGTCATTGCAGCATGCCAGAGGAAGCTCGCTCATGGGGTTGTTGTGAGGTTCTCCCACCGGTTCACATCGGGAAAACTGTCCATCGAGGTCACTGCAGGAGGTCTCTTGGTCCTCGGAGAACCGACTCGACCGATGCCAGTCACGCTCCATGGCTCTCTTCGGGTGCGGGGAGCCCGTGATACTCGAGGTGCAGTGGTGGTAGGCGGAACGACAGTTGATGGACGAATTCGTGCTCTGAGGCCTGGTCGTAGAATCTCTGAGAGAGCCTTTCCCTTCCTTGGCTCGTAGTGAACACTCTCTATGGATGGAAAAGACCGCAGCCGGTGCTTGGAAATGGCTCATCTCCCCGCCGTCCGTCATCGCTCTGGTCAGCGTCTGAAATAAAATGAACCCCGAATACGGTAATTTTCAGCTGCATATAGTCATGGCGAATGGAGGCGGATTTCCGTCTCGTGTGAACTGAGTCGTGACCATTGTACAGTATGGGGAATTCCCCTTTTTTTGTATGCTTTGTGATCACTGAATGCCACGGTGCTGATGACATTCAGTATTTCACGATATGCAAGTCATGTAGATTCATTTAACCCTAATCCGGGCAAGGTGAGTCCGTTGGACTCACTACGACATATTTCGGTCTATTACTGTCATTATTTTTTTAAACTATCAGGACCATTGAATAAATTGTCTGTATTATTTTAGCTACAGCACTGTTATTTATAAGAATACATACCGTAACCGCAGCAAACGGCNAAGAATACATACCGTAACCGCAGCAAACGGCCTTATTTTACATGAGTCTGACAGACTCACCTTGCCCGGAATAGGTTGTAAAAAAGCTTGCCCGGATGAGGGTTAAGAAGATTTCCCTTATACCATATGGAAGGACGGCAGTCAGTGCCACCCTGTCAGGGTCTGTGCACGGGTGTTTGACAGAATTCGATCTGTTGCATTGTCGAAGCAAGAGTTTGCGGATGCCAGACCCATGCCCGAGTCATTTAATTACCTGAATCTTATTTATTTTGCTTCTAATTTCAGCCTTCCAGGAATTTCTGCATGAGACAGACCTTAGAAGGATGGGGTGGCTTGGACTTTGCTGTCCCTTTCGTTGTTGGAGGGAAGTCACTTTTCACTATCACCATGTCGATGGAATGGATAACAAAGGCGATTGGTGTTTTTTAAAAACTGCACGTCTACGCACAGTCGACGAGAAGACGGTAAGCACTGCACAGTGCACACACCGACACGCATATGAAGCATTGAAAGGATGGATGAGAGGGGAGAGTGAAAGCGGGGAAGTTCAACTGACCTTTTTCCCCATTCCCTCCACTGACTCACACGCAGTGAGCACGAGAGAAAGGGATTCTGGGCACATCCTGTTCGCCTTATTTTCTATCATCGTGTAACGATTTCGACTTCCCTCAGGTGGTCAAGAGCTCGACTACGTCTGGAGTCGGAAGGATACCTGTCATGGAAATCTGATACGCATAAAACAACGAAGCAGGGATGGGTCGAGTTTCGCAAGGGCATGTCCGTGCAATGCATCCATGCAGAGAACGTGCCAGAGCCGATGTCGAACCTTCTTTTATGACGTTCATGGTGTCATAAATTTATTCTGTGACGCAGTATCCGCACAACTCTCATATTGTCTCGGCTCAGGTTGGTATTCCCCCCCGCCCTCGTGCCTCTGCCCTAAAATGCTGAAGATCTACTTTGTAGGAATGCAGGCATCCCCTAATTTTTTTTTTGTCAAATCAACTTTGAATTAGTTAGTGTCGGAAATCATTTTGGCTCTCTTCTTCAGAAGACAAACTTTTGAGTTTTTATTGTGTTCATTTCCATCGGTGTCAGGTCAATTCGATTTTCCACCCTCACACAGGAAAACTTTTACAAGTAAATATCCATCTTCAAAGATCCCGCGACGATAGCAAGCGAATTATTGAGATTGCATTTAGGGCTCAAGGGCTGTCCCATTTAGTTTTCATTTCTTGTTACTTTTGTTCTGGGCGTTTGTTCGCTTGGTGTTGAAGTGAACATTAGTCAGAAACCTGGCTCGTACGATTTCAGTTCGTGTCGGAGAAATATCGGAATTACCATGCGCATGCTGCCCACCCAGCTCGTGTGCTGTTCTCTCTTCTTTGTCAAGGACAAAGAAGAGAGGACACTTCAGATTACAAACTGACTACTGAGGACATTGTGCATTCGCCCCTTTGAAAATTGTGAGGAAGGGAAGATTAACACTTTCGATCCGATGAACGTATATGTACGTCTAGTCCTTACAACCATCGGACGAGGTGGACGTGATAGTACGTCCCTTGAAGTTTTTTCAAAATTTGAAATCATTTTCGCCATAAAATTACTTAGAGAACTTATATTTAAATTTATAATAAAGAGCAAGTCTATCATTTTGCGTTTCAAAGTTATGAATTATTTTTGTAGACTTAAAAAATTGTCACAGATAATCCGGACTGGAAGTGTTAGTCGAAAGTTAGATGAAAAGTCGATGTGAGCGCCCATGGGTTTTCCGTATCGAGAACCCGCAAGGGTTTCCTGTATCTTTCGAAGTTCAAGGTTCGGGCCAGGACGCCGACAGGCATTGCTGCTCGTATCGACATCCTCCTAGTCGAGGTAAAGCAATTATCTAATCCCACCCCCCAAGGCCTACCCCGCTAAAGAGAATTTTTTTGGTGAGTGCGTCTGTTACTTCCTTAGTCACTTACTAAATGTATTGTTCCTTTTTTTGTTGCTTTTTTTTACCCATGCCACAAAAAATGCAACCACTACATTGGCACCTGGCTCGTTCCGTGCATTCACTACCCGTCCAGTAAAGAAAAGCCATTTCGTTACTTGAGCCTCAATTGAGGCCTACTCGAGCTGGTTTCCTAGGCCCTAGGGAACCGCGTTATTCCATTATCATTGGAGTAGGAAAAACCCATCATGCTCCACGTCATCGATGCCCTTGATGAAGTCAAGGGCAAGAAGCCCTTTTGCCGCGACGCCCGAGTATGATCGTTTTCAAACGTCACCTTTCCAGCGCGGGTCTCTATAATACTTTCAATTATTATTATTATTTTTTTTTACTTTATCCTTAAAAGTCGTAGTTGCTTTATACAGGAAACAGTAAAATATATATACCACCATATATATACCAATATATTGTACCATATTGTAACATATATACCAATATATTGTACCACCATATATATGTACCATATATACCACCATAAAATATATATGTACCATTATAAACTCCGCGGTTGAGGGGGTAATGTATGAGGGAGGTTGCTTCATTAACCCTAATTCATAACTTTCTCCTAACGCTTCGAAATGTCGTTCCTGGGGAAGTCCTCGTACTTCCTCTATCATTTTATTTCATTTTTCTTACAGAAGTCGTCACTAACGTGAGGAAGAAAGGGCTTTTAAAATTCGCCGTCACTGAGACGAGACATGCTTTAAAAGATCTTGCTGTGAGGAAATGGAAGGTATTGTCTCAAGTTACAAGGAGCAACTTTGCTGTCGGACTTAGGCTGATTTCAAAACTGCAGTCCAATCACGCTTCAGTTGCAATTCAATTCCAGTTTTAGTTCATTCGCAATTCTAGTTGGGATTTTGTTATGTGAGTAGTTGCTAAGACCACAGGGGAACTTCAGTCAGGTCAAATTTTCAGTTCGGACTACGGTCTGACTCAAGTTCCAGTGTTCTTACCGACGACTCTTACGACGAAATCTCAAATATAACTGCAACTGAACTAAAACTGGAACTGAATTGAAACTGAACAACGACTGGACTGCAGTTTTGATATCAGCCACAGTCGCAAGAACCAACCGGAATGGAGGGGGGGGGGGGGACGACTTGGTCGCGAGATAGACGAGGGCCTGCTCAAAGAGTGACAGGAAGTCATTCTTCACTATTATTCTCATGCAGGAAACCTTCCGAATATCATCGTCGAGGTCGAGGGTTCGGGGACGAAGGAAGTGATGGCGTATTCTTTCACAACTGTTTATGCATTTCCAAGCCTGACAACTCCGAATCGTAAGCGAGGATGGGCTTTTGACTGGGAGGGGTTTCTCTTCCAGGTTCACACAAGGGTTCACTAAGTGCTACCGTCAACCTAGGGTGAAATATTTTTTTGCCTTTCTTCCATCATTTTATCAAGTCACTTTCTTGCTTTATCGTTCGAGTGCCATAGAATAGGTTTTCCCGTTCGCTGTGCCCTTGACCAACTGGAAACAGGTTTTAAATCGTTCGAGGATGCCGTTTCGACAGATGAACTCCAAAAGGACTTACATGCAATGAGATCAGACGCCATGATGAAACACAATGGCGGTATAATGAAAGAGAACTGACAGTTTAGTGAGCGGAGCCGGGAGAGCTCCATCTGGAACCTATCTTCGCTTTAGATATTCCTCCCTCCTCGCCTTTGTATATCTAATCGGATTTGACGGAAGGAGCAGCGTAGCCGAGCCGTGGATTGTTTGCTCTTCGCATTTTTGGACTGGATTCAATCTAAACAGCTAGCGTTTTCTACGGCTGACCATATCCTCCGCGCCGTGCAGAGGCGGCGAAACCGACACCGACTCGCCGTGCACTCCGACCCGAGACGGTCTTACCGATTCGTTTGAGAGGAAGTGCACTTTCCGCTGAGTATGCCAGGGTTGGGGGTCGCTTCGGTTCCTCAATGCGGTTCTCACTATCGGGTGGATCTGGGACCAGAACCGAGGAGATTCCGTCCACTTCCGCATCCTCGGGCCTTGACAATGGCTGTTGAGAGTTCGCACTTACGAGCACGGGACTAGCGAATTTTTCACGTTTCGAGACTCCAGGAAGTTTTTTGCACCACAAGGGGAAGTGGGTGTTCGGATCCTGGCTGCTGGTCGAGTGACCTGTCGTCGGTTAGCGGGTGGCTCTCATTTCCCGCCGCATTCTTCTTCCTTACCTTGTCTGTTTACTTTGTCGAAACCCCCCGACCTGCTCCCAGCATGTCTCTATTTCCAACTTCCGAGCAAAATCTGTCAAACACGCATGTCTCCTGTCTGATTTAATGGGCCGAGTCGGAAGGGATGGGGAGACGTGGCCTCAGCCGGCCCAGAATGGGGTCACGAGATAAAAAAAAATGAAAGCTCTTCAAACATTGGCAGCGTAGTATAGCGTGCATTGAGCTGTTGTATGAAACCCCTGTATCCGATGGTCATGGCCGCTTCTCGCCTGGCCAATGGCGTGGCAACAAGGATCGTATCTGTTTTGTCTGCGTCGTAGCTTAAAGAACATGAATCCCAAATTCGTAAATATTTGCGCAATGGCGTCTTAGGTTTCGTACGCGTTTTGTGATAAGTGAGCTGTGAAAAATAAATCGAATCCAAGTGCAGCGGAAACCAGTTAGGATATTGGGGGGGGGGGGATGTTCTGAAGAGAGCGTTCGGGATTTCTGCATGATACCCTTGCTTACCCTTGACACTAGTCTACTACAGCTGATTCTATTGCTCTCTATTTTTTCACGCCTCTGGCAAGTCAAACAAATTCTTGCGCGTGACGAACGGCAGATATGTAGCCTTGAAGCACACGTGAAGATGCAAACGAACCGAAAGAGGAAGATGGAGATGGATCAATGCATTCTATCTATATATATATTTAAGAATAAAACCAGTTGGATGAAGTCACCTGCAAAGGCCGAGATGCGAAGAAGGGCTCGAGTTGACCGTTGACGAGGTGAATGCAAACGAGGAGAAAGGGGTGAAGCCTCCAGTCGTCTCTCAGGCCCCAGTCTGTGGTCACTCGAGGCTCGGTTCCTATCACCCGGCCCAGGCGGTATCACTCACTGACTCGTTCCCGAGGAATTCTCTACTGGCGACTTTCCTCTTCCCCTCGAGAGTCAGGGTCACTCGGAGCCCGAGGGCTGAGGCTGAGGTTGCCTTCCATTCCCGTCCTTCCGCGTCTCGTCTCGAGCACCTCTCATCTTTTCTGCCCCTAGTTCGCTACGTTCTAAATTGTCTGTTTTCGCGATGAGATCGAGGGGCCTAAAGGATGCTTCTGACTCTTTAAGCTTTCTACTTGTTCCCAGCCTATTGAAACACGTTGTGTTTTCCTTTCATCTCCTTGTGAACATCCCGCCTGATTGAGGATCATAATAGCCACGGGGTTTCCTTTTCATCCTTCGTCGGCGTGCAATATTTATATTTTTTCACCTTGGTGCCCTGCATTAGTCTTGTGTCGCTTTTAATTATCACTGTTTAAAGGGAGAGAAACTACATTGTGTCATATAGATAATTCATATCTCGAAGCGGCGGTTGATCTGGGCTAGTGCTCTTTTCTACTCTGTTTGTCATCTGGGTTTCTCACAGATCCGGATGAACAGGAAAAAAAGCGTAAAAAAGTCAGGAAAATAGAGATCGGGTCTAGAAGTCCTCCCCTCCCCTCCTCGAATTTCCTGGAGGTTAGGGAATTAGGCAAATGACATTAATCGTTCCCGAGGAAATTACAAATATGTTAATGGGGAAGTAAAGGCCGTGTAAGAAGACTTGGCTTAGTGAAAATTGAATATCCTTACCCACAAGCAGGGTAGGTGTTCATATCAGACATCGAATAGGGTAAATTGGGGAAATATGGCCCTTCACAAACAGGCTGAAGAATAAGTTTGGGCGAATTTCGAAAATAGGACTACGGAAGAGTATATGTAATAACCGAAGTGATTTGCCCTGATCATATAGTGCGCACATGAAGATGGGAAGCATCAATGTTTTCAAAAGTTAGGTGCTTTTAATTGCTTAATATATGACACTGAATCTAATATGAACCTTGAAAAACTTTAGCGCATATTTTCTGATAGCAGCATGGATACAGAAACTATTTGTTAAAAATTATTTCTACGGTCCATCCAGAATGCTCATGAAAAGTGCAAGACCTTTCATTTGCGGTTTGCAGGCAGTGATGTCAGCTTTGTCTTGCAACCCAACATGGAAGAACATGGCCACTGCGATTAGGGGTAAAACGGATACTGCCTTGATATCATGGGAACATTGTACTGTCCTATCGTCCGTGTTATATTCCTCTCTTGGGCGACCCCAGGCAGAAAAGACTTGTCCTATGCACATCTGCTGGTTATCCGCTTCGGATGTACGGAGGTCCACTTGACATCCGCATTCGATATGCAGCGGATATCCTGATAGATATCCAGCGGAAAGGAACACTTTCTGAAAATCCGCTAGATTACTCCAGAACATTTCATGGCATGGAATTTGAGTACAAGTGAATGCCCTTCGTGCTTTAAATATAAATATTTCCAACGATATTTAAAAAATATCATTGTGTATATGTCGCATGCAAGTTGACCCTGCCGTGCAAGTTAAACTTGCATGGTAATTCATCTTGCAAGTTGAACTTACACGGCCAAATCATCCTGGGTTAACTTATAGTCAATAATAATAGTCAATCATAATAGTCATAATAGTCAATCATGGTATGCAGGTTGAACTTGCATGGGCAAACCCTTGTTCATGTTTACCTGGATTGCACATTTTCGTGCAAGTTCAGAGAAGCACTTAATCTCGGCTAGAATAATGATCGTACGCCTTCGGCTACCGGCACTTGCTTTATTTGATGAATTAGTTAATCTCACCTAAGGAATAAAATGAAGAGACTGCTTCATGATGTCATTGCCCGTAATTGAAGAATCTGCAAAAAATTTGTCAATGTCTGCATTCAAGTCTTTCTGTTGAGCACATCTTTCTTATTTCCATGCATTTGTTTGAATACGTCTATGACCCGTGGGATCTAGAGTTGCACTGGGTATTATTGGCTACCCACTTGTACCTTTTGTTGTTTTTCTGTTTTTTTTTTGTATGTTTTTTTTTAATTATAATTTATTCCTGAGTTCATTGTCTGTTGAAATTTTGTTACCCACGAAGCGGATCCCGCGGGGCGTGGGTGTGATCTAGTTACCCAATGTTCATACCCTGTTCGGTTTGAGTATTGAATGGTTCGCGGAATATGCATATCATAATATTTGCTGCTATTTAGTTTTCTGTGCTATTGGCACTGCTCACAGAAAAATGATCCATCTTTGATTTACTCAACCTGTAAGTCGAGAGGAATTTCAGGATAGATTTATGGCATAATTCGTTTGTCTTTTACAGACATTGGTAGTTTCAGTGTGGTCTGTCAAATATAGTAAATGAATGCTGATATTGAAAATAAGTGACATCCTTGGATTGCTATTGCTTTCAAAGCCATATTAATTGCCTGGGATGTGATCAACAACTATTCCAATATATCATTGTCATTCAGAGGTATTCGAATATTCGAGTGGTACCCAAAGCGTCAAACAAATCTGGAAGAGTTGTGGACAATATTATTATTATTATTTTGCAGATAGGAGCGGATGGATGGGGGAGCCGAGTGAGGGAAGCCATGGGAGTCAAACACGTGGGCTGGGATTACGACCAGACTGCCATCGTGGCCACGCTTCGGCTCTCAGAGGTTCTTTTCGTCCTCCACCTCTTCATGCTGTCGGAGTGGAGTGAATGCTGTTTCACCTGGTCTTTCTCCCCGTCCAGGCTACAGCAAACAACGTGGCGTGGCAGAGGTTCCTTCCCACTGGGCCCTTGGCACTGCTACCGGTGAGTTCCGCGAGCTCTTAACCTCCCCCGACCTTGAGGTCGCTACGGTGGACCTCGTTTAGATATCCCGGAGGAGTGGAGTCTAAGGAGGCTAAAACGATTCGGACTGCGTCACGTGTGGGTGTGTACCGATGGCGGTCTTTGGCCGATGAGCAGATGACCTATCGTGATATGGCTCTCATTGGCTATGCTAATTCTAGCAAGCATAAGGGGGGGGAGAAGGAAACGAACACATTATTAACCAATATTATGCTCTATCAACATTTTTCAGGCTAGATTATGCATTATTTATGACAGTCTTTCCATATCCGCCTTTTGCGTTGAAGATGCCGGAAGCACGAGTGTGTTTCCTTTGGAAAAAAAAAACCGCAGGTTTTTAAGAATAGAGAAGGCCATCTTTTTGACGCAGTTGCTGGTGCAGAGGAAGGTCTGACCGCAAGAGGAATACTGTACATAGAAGAGAATTCCAGTTCTCAAAATGGATCCTACCAAGGTCTGTAGAAACGAGTCGCACGGGAATGAACTGTAGTCGTTTGAATTCGACTCATCAAATGGCCATCTAGCGGCAACTTTGGCAGTGACTTTTGGCTAAACTACGGGTCAGAGGTGACTGTGCGACCCCTCTGTTCACTTCCCTAGGGATCCCCAACAACAATTACGTTTCAGATTTCGAATCCCAGACGGTCGATTTTTCCTCCCCTACCACCTTAATTTTCTCGTGATCTCTTGTGAGCGCGATAGGGAAAGTCGGAGCAAGATGAGCCGTGCGCAAATGGTCCGCACCCGGGCGGGCGCATGTCACAACCGCATCCGCCAGGCAAAGATAATGCATTAAGTTGGAGAGAAAGGTTTCCGGCACTATCGATGCTTATGTCTCGCGCAACAAAAAAAAAGAGGGACTTGTGAGTGTAGCCTGGTGCCGGACTCCCTGCCTTTCTTCCAAGAAAATGAGTAGGATATTTCTGGCATCTCCCGTACAAAAATTCAAAACATAAATATACTGGCGTCCAAAAGAAACGCTAAAAGGAAACAAACGTATGGCTCGTTCGCGTAGTAGGAGTCGCTATGATATTATATCTGTATTTTGCTGAACAAGTCAACACCCTTGAACATTATTAGCGCTTACTAGCCAACCTTTGAGCGCTGTGCACGTGCCACGTCAGGAAAATGCCTAATTAAGTTTTCTCCGTGCCATATGTAAAGTTCAGATTTCCATAGATAAAAAAATGGGCTGATTCCACTGTGCATGTCATACCGTCTCCGAAAAACATCGGAGATATGCCAAAGCTAACGCAGCAACAAAGGGACGGGGTGATGAAAATGCTCCAAGAGGGGGTAACGCAACAGGAATTCGCGCTGCAACTCGGATGGGCTCGTGTGACTAAACCGGATTGAATCAGCACTTCATATTCAATAAAAACTGGAGGAACAGTTTGACTTTGAGAATCGTTACATTCTCAAGGTCAAGTGTCCTGCCAGCTAGTTCCAAGTAGTTCCAAGATGGCGTAACGCTTGTTGCGTTACTTCCTCTTTGAGCATTTTCGTCACCCCGTCCCTTTGTTGCTGTGTTAGCCTTGGCATATCTCCGATGTTTTTCGGAGACGGTATGACATGCACAGTGGAATCAGCCCATTTTTAATCTATGGAAACCTGAACTTTACATCCTAATTAGGCATTTTCCTGACGTGGTACGTGCAGAGCGCTCAAAGGTTGGCGAGTAAGCGCTAATAATGTTCAAGTAAATTATCTTGTAACGCTTCTTTTGGACGGGAGAATTTATCAAGGCATGACTCAATCCCTCTCCGTGGCGGTGACCTTGGTCGAATGGTGGCATCGGGAATGCCGCTGGAGTTATCGTCTCTTCCAAGAAAACCTAGGCCTAAGTTGAGCATGCTTTTTATTCAGAGGGGTTTCCCATCCCCCCCCGGCAAAAAATCTACATTCCTCAAGGTGTCTGCTCATGGGTTCGTGGGGATGGGTATTTCCCACAGGCCGTGAAGTAGATGCTGGGACGCGTCACGCGTTACACTTACAGTTGACCCATTTGACATCCTATTTAGAAGGATAATACTCCTTGCATGAAAAAACGCAATGACCATTACCTTCCAAAAAGATTTTATCGTGCGAAATTTCCCTGGTGGCAGGATGAAGGATGTTTCCATACGTATGCCTGCTGCGTTGTCTGTGGGTCATATTAATAAACCCTTGCCTCATCCGCTGTAAGGATATGCCGAAGGACGTTCTTGTCGACGGTGACAATAAACAGAAGTCTTGGGTGCTCCTGAACTCGTTTTTGACGCTATTCGTCAGACAGATCACAGAGAACCCAACGCAGCTGCAGTTTCTCAGTTTCGATGTGTGAATACGACCATATGATATCAACAAGAATTGCCAACTGAACGTTCGGGCTTCAAATTGGATTTAAAAAAAAAAAACACACACACAGATTAAATGGTGAAGCACGCCCAAGAGCACACCGTTACCTTGAATGGATAAGCCACGTGACTCAGTCCACGAACTTTTATTCATATCCCCACGTTCATTTCAATTCCTTGTTCATATTTTTGTGTCTTATATTTTTAGGTTTCCGGTGACGAATAACAGAATTCAATGAATTTTTTTCTTGTAGTTGAATTCTCAACAGAGTTCTTTGGTATGGAGTACAACCAAGAAGGAAGCATCACGTTTGATGAGCCTAACAGAAGAGGAATTTACGGATGCTTTAAATCATGCCATTGTGAGTTATGTGCAACTTCTCTCAGGCTTTCCCTACCTTCAACCAAAGGACGCGCCTGACTTTTTCCTACCATTAATTTTTTTCTTCAATGTATTGCTTTTGTGGTTCTGAAAGAAATTAACCGTGTGTTTGTGTGATTGAATTCAAAGTGGGACGACAAGCATCGGATTCGGGGCATCGATGATGTGTTAGATCGATGGCGATCCCTCCTGGGGCGAGTCTTAGATCTGGGCATGTCAGTCCGTCAGCTTCCACCCAGCATCATGGCGATTGAAGGCGGAAGTCGAGCCTGTTTTCCCCTGGGACTGGGCCATGCCACAGAATACGTCCGTCTGAGAGCAGCTCTCATCGGGTGAGTTGCACAGCATGGAACAGGGAATGGAACCGTCCGTAGCGGATGTCACTCGTGGTCTCTTCGTGTCGTGCAGGGATGCAGCTCACCGTATTCATCCCATGGCGGGTCAGGGGGTGAACATGGGTTTTGCGGATGCCGTGGCCCTCACCAAATGCCTCTCTCGAGCCGTCTATGAAGGACGGGATGTCGGTGAGTTTCAGTTCATCGGTTTTATCTACCTGTGGCTGGATCCCCTATTCGCTGATTCTGATTCTTTTTTTTTAAGACAATGTGCTCTACACAACGCTTCCTGAAACATATTATTTGTTAAAACTCGTTGGTCTTTTTGTTTGGTTGATCGTATTTTTTTTGCCCTACCATCTATGTTCCAGAAGGGTCTAAAATCCCTCTATATTAAGTAACCATAGTTTAGTCCTATAATGAATTCATTTATTTCCTTCATGCACATCAACTGGAAATAATTTTTTTTTCTTACAAGCAGGGAATCTATCACATTTGCTAGAATATGAGACAGAGCGTCAAAGACAAGTAGTACCAACCTTGGCAACTGTCGATGGCCTCTATCGCCTTTATTCCACGCAATTCTCCCCTATTGTGTTGCTAAGATCCCTTGGTCTCTCCTTCACCAATGCTTTTTCACCAGCCAAGGTTTGTTTTTCCATACCTGATACATTTTTTGCGCATCCACATTGCTGTATATGTCTGGATTGGAAATTTGATCAATTGACTTTTCTTTCCACAGAGAGTAATAATGGCCAGGACATCGGTATGATTTGATATGGCATATAATGGGGCCATGAAGATGGAAATCAACATTAAATCTTTTCAGGTATGACTGTGCCAGCGTTTGCCATTGTCCTTGAATATACCTTGCCCTTGAATAATCCATCCCATGTACCATGAATTTTAAGCAGTGATGGATGATTGTCAAGTAGTGAGGAAAACTTAATTAAACAGCATATTTTCTTTCGTAAAAGGAGTTCTGTAGTTGTAGTTAAATTACTGCATGTTAGCATTGTTAAAAGTGAAAAAGTCAAGCTGTAACTTGTAGCATTTGAAACATTTTCGTACCTCTTTACCTGTTGAAGTACCAGCTCAAGTATTTCCTATCTCGCTTCCTTCAATTTGCAAAATCAAGTGGAAACATGACCAGAGATTTCGAGGGCTAATCGTTTCCTGTATGCTGTGATACTTGGAAAATGAAGTGCTTTTTTGCTCCTGATATTCACATTTATTTTATTTGCAACATATAGCTACGTTATTTCATGAAGTCCGTGAAAAATTAATCCATCAAATTGTTCTACATGGAGTACCTGACTCAAAACAAGGTTGCTTGCTGGACCTTTCTCATGAGTTGACATGATCTTGTGCTCAAAGAAGTTATCAAGAGTAAGCTTGGATCTTTTTTTGTGATTCCCACGCTCATTTACAGTATAATAGCCCTCCAGGCAGCCTTCTCTTGATTCTTTTCAGCGAAATCATCGCATTTTCCCAGTGAATGAGAATGGATTCATTTTAAAAGTTTCTAGGTAGTGTGCAACATAAAGCTTCGCCACTTGCAACGAAAGGGAGCTTCAATAAGTGAAGCTCTAATGTAATATATCCTTGTGGCAGTTGGCTGTGAATGCTTTGAAAGGTGAGTTGAATCTAATGGTGCAACTTTTCTCAAGGCGGAGGAAACAGTACCATTTCTGATACTTTGTAGAGCACATAAGGTGACTCCATCCACTTTTCAAATTATCGTTACCAGTTCTGATACACTCAGAGTTGGCTTGGTTTTGCTGAGATCTTTCGTAGTGTAAATGCTCAAGTAGCAATGAATGAGGCATGGCGATAAACAGGGCTGAAAGTACTCATAGTGTACTCTGTCGATTCATTCAGGTTTTGAAATCCTAATGATCATCGTCAGGTCACATAAAAATATTTTCTCCGGGTTGTAAAGATTCATTAGACTCAGAGGTTACTTCTCTCACAGGAGATGGCTGAGGGAAGGACTCGACAGTATTGTTGCAGGCTTTGGGAGCATTCTTGGGAGCATCCACCTGCTTCACAAATTTTGAGGTGTCCACGTCGTCGACGAAACGCGCATTTCGATAATGGTATTGGATTTTTTTTCTGTAATGGAATGTGTGGCAGTAGCGGGGCTTCTGTAAGTTCCTTGTATTGTTCAGTCTCCTATAATAAAATCATTTAAATTCTATAAGGAAGGTGTTATTTTCAAGTACATGTAGATGCAGATGTACATGCGTTATGGGTAATTTGAGGTCATCAGAAGCAAAGATTGCTCTGGGGAGAATGAAGATGAACATGTTAATGCTCAGCCGTCCATGCAGGCACACATATGTGGCACAGAAGTTTGAAAAAGAAAAAACAAAATTGAAGTATAATTACCGCTTATTCAAAGGTACTCTGGACAGAATCGCATGTGCTTGCATATTGACTATAGATTCACTTGTGCGTGCTTTTTTTTACTTTAAAACACTGCAACCATAATAAAACATTGGCAAATCGAGCTAATTCGTCAGACTGCAATCAGAAAACGGGTATTCTCCACTGCTGATCACCCCCTAGTTCTAAGCTAGGAATCGTCTGCCTGCTGACCTTATAGAATACGTAATAATTGTATTAGTCTCGTTGTGTACCACTCTCCCTCACCCTCCTCCTATGTACCAGCCCAGGCAAAAATGTCGAGGGAGATCTATAGACTTCTATAGAGGTTTCTATATAGTTCCATATAATTTAATTGACCGCTCGTTGCACTCGGATATGACTCTATACAGATCAGATTTAGGTCAGTCTTATTGCCTGATAAGTTCCACTGCTTCAAGTGGCAGGTAGCTGCAATAAAAGAATAAAAGACTGAACATTCCATGCTGACAGTTTATATCGAATCGAAAATATGTGAAAGCAGGGCGGAAATAGAAACATGCGTGGATCACTTGAAAAGTAGAGGAGATCCAGTCCGAGGAGAAGATAATCGGTCCCACGACTCACTCCCCTTGCGAGTTTCGGGACTTCTAAACAAAACCGCATTTAGATCATGTACCAAATATTGTGATCACGAAGACTACATCTTCTGTCTTAACCGTTCGTGAAAACTGTTCGAATACAAATTGGCAATACGGACTAAGATGACCAAGCGGCTTTCTAATTTCGGGAAAGGAACCTAAAGACATGCCTGCACTTGCTAGCAGGCCGGCCTTTCACTACCTACACTATCACTGTCTATCTATTATCTACACTATCTATGGCTATCGTACACTTTCATATCGCGTGCCCTATGTGATACCCTTGAGGCGCCATCACACGCTATGATTTTGCTCATATATGACTTCTCCCATATGAGCTGTGAACTCATATAATCAGGGTCTATGAGCGACTAAGATTCACGTGTGATTGGGATACCAACTCATTATGTCTTGAGATATCCTTTACTTTCTTGTAGTCACGCATAGGTAGTATGTTCACTGATTGGTTGGTTTGCTCAGTGGCGCTTCCCTCATGACTGTATCAACTCTCTTGATTTTTGGTTCAACGTGTGTCAGTAGTTCCATGAAGGTGTCATGATTCATCCTCAGAAGAGCATGGAAACGATGGGGATCTTCATCCCGTAATTCTCTGAAAATATTTGTTTCGAAACCCTTTTCTCGCCTCCTCGCAAGCCATATTTGCATCTACACACGTCTGTCACATTTTATACTTCGCTGACAGCTTCTAATCCTCCTCAATAAAGTCCCAACCAGAAACAAAGTTACTCTGGCCGTCAAGTTTCCACCCCCAAAAAATTCCATACCGATCTCAACAGGGTGATTGCAAGAGAGGAACTAAGCGTGCGGCAGCCGTTGTACTGAAAACTCACAAGGTCTTCTCATAGCATCTAATCACCAGCTCATAGCAAATTCACTCATATGGGAGCAGTCATATATGAGCAAAATCATAGCGTGTGATGACTGCTTTACCCATTGCCTATGCGATATTTTACAGCCAAATCCCAGTCGGTGCAGCAACCGATCTCTTTAAAATTTCACCACTTGAGATTGAACGACTCTCCGATGCACGATCCCTATGAGGATTTCCAGCAGTTCGCAACTACGATTTATGTCACCCCCCACCAGCATAAACCAATGCTCCCACGAGTTCACCATAACTTCATCAGATATGAGCCTTCTAAAAGGCACTTCATATTTTATAAAATTCTAGATGACCCTTGTATTAATACAATCGAAGAAAAAAGGCCACCTTTAATACTTTATATTTTCCTTTGGGGACACTATTTGGATATACTTATTTCCATAGAAATTTGATAGGATTTCAATAGATTTTGTATACACTGATTACAGAAGTTCCTGAAATTCAATTTAAAAAATTGTGTACGATTTCTATACCGGTACAGTGACGCAAAAAGTAAATAAAACCCTATAGAAATTCTGTAGAATTTCTTTACAGCTTCTTCGTAGAATTCTATAGAAATTTGATAAGATTCTTGATAGGATTTCTATGGAATCTCCATTGAATTTCTATACAGTAATTTAATAGAATTCTATACGAACCTATAGAATTTATCTTAAGGTGGGTCTATAGAATATTTTTGCCTGGGGGGGAGCGCGGAAGTATGACGCCTCCCCACTCCTCATATTTGCAGCTAATCGTTTTTCACGCCCTCGAACCTGCTTTCCTTCCGCCTTTCGTGCGATCTGCATCCGTAATGTGATCGCCAAGAGCCACGTGTACTACACCCTTCCGTCGCGACTGCTTTTCATAGTTGGTTCCTATTTCCATGCCTGCTGGCCATTATTTGGAGTTTAGCTCTTCGCTTAGTCACGATATATTGCACTTGGAAAGCGGTCAGACGGGAGGAGCATGACGTTACTTTCCCTGTCGATTTCAAAGCTCATTCACATACATTGACTTGCTCAACGACGAAACGTTTCACATAAGATTGTCACTGCTCTCACCTGACATCAGCACCGTTTTTTAAGTGCTTTCCACCATCCAAATGTCACCAATTATGCCATTACAATTTCCTGGAACTTTCAACCTCAACTTTGAAGTAGGTCTCCCTCGCAATTAGCGCAGCGTAGTGTGCCTCACTAACCAATAATTGTGCACTCAATAATTATTGACTCTCGCCGTGTTCTGACACGCAATGCACCAAACACCTCACAGTTTTCTAAGGTACTTGCTCAAATGAAAATGCTCATCATCCCATTTACAGGTAAAAGCGAGCCATAACGTGCTTTCTAGTGATACATAATTGGAAAATCTAATATAACGATACAACAATATACGATTAAGTTTCTACTTCCCCTTTGTATACAGTATATTGTATTGGATCTTACTATTGTAAGATGATTTGACAGATCTCCATAGGATATAACTTTGAGAATCAGAAGCTCCATTAGGTAGCGATATGATTTTGCCATTCTGGGCACTAGCTTATAGGCTTACCAGGAAAGAAAAGCGCATGCACCAAGAAATTTGATAGGAGAGTTATGCCACATTTACAGGAATCTCAGGAAGCTGGAAGGTGCATCACGTCATATCACAAAGCCGATCGACCTACCAGAACAAGGCGAAGTTCAACCATAACGTACTACAATTAAGTGACAATGATAGTCAATATATTTGACATCTGACAAGTCGGTGTTGGGGAGTCCGAGTAGCTGCTCGAAGGACACGAAAAATCAGTCTCTCGGCGCGAGTAAAATAATGTTCCCGCGATTTTCGATGCTCAGTCAAAGGCAATAGAAGAGAGATAGTTACATACTAATTTTAATATTCTTGTTTCGTGTCGAATTATGTCCATGAACAATTTGCATCGGGGTAATATGAAGTCTTGGGGCTTGATTATATTTTCTAAGGCATTTTTAAAGTGTAATTCATTGGAGCTTTCTTGAAATCACAGCAACACAGTTATGAATTCGTAATACACATCGAATTTATCGTCGACGAAAGACTGATACAGCCATTTAAGACTCAATGACGAACCCCAAAGACAAAGATGCACTTGACAACGAACACACCCAACACCGAGACGACATTGGATTGAAGGCAGGCACGTGAAAAGCCACGGGTAAAGATATCGCACCTCAACTTGAAAGGGTCATTCGTTCATGCATAGGCAACATCTGCCTTGAAGCCCCAGTCGTCCGTATGATAATTCACTGTTCTTGTCAGACCTGGAAAACATCGAAACTCGAGGTTCATGAATACGGACGTTTTACATACGACGAAGGGACTACCTTCGAGCATACCATCAGGTTGGAGAACTGAGTATTTGCCCTGGACGTACTTGCCATCTCGGGTCTCCTCGTGGCTCTTCACATCCCCACTTTTGCTGTCATTCACAGAAAACTTGAAGTGGTACTTCGGGGGGGAATCCTGGAAAACGAAAATATACGAAAACGCCAAAATAATCATTGGTGCCATCTGATGATGGACAGTTGAAACATGACTTACCATGGAGGAAATCTGGCTGTATCCTCCAGAAGAAGCATAACCTTCATTTCCATCCTTAACGGGAGTGAAGCCGTCGTGTACTCCGGTATTAACTTCCATGAAGGTCTAAGAAAAGTTGACGGGGACCGGGTGACCTTGGGGCGGGACATGTCCAATCTCAGTAGCCTTGTTGCCTCGTTTGGGGGGTTGGTATGCGCTCCAAGGAGCGTCATGCATCTTGGCACGGGCACGTGAAGAAGCGTCCCCTGACTTCAGTTTGTAGCGGGCATCTCCATCAGCGTTGAAAGAGTAGTCGTAACGGATATGAAGAGGCATGCGGTTCCTGTCGGAAGCGTAATCCTCTCGAGGAGCCTGGTAAATGAAACTGGGGGCCTCGGAGGTGGACTTGTGGGCCTTATAGGTCGACTTGGGAGACTTGGAGGTAGAAACAGGTGACTCGTAGGTCGACGTGGAGGTAGAAACAGGTGACTTGTAGGTCGACTTGGGGGCCTTGTAGGTCGAAGCTGGTGCGTGATGGGTCGACTTAGGGAATTTGTAAGTGAACTTGGGGGTTATAGATGTAACCCTGAGAGCTCCAGGCGTAGGACGATTACGACTACCATAAAGTAGGAAGGCATGACTGCAGGCCAGCAGAGCAAGAAACACAACCTGTAAACAGGTTGAACTGAGTTAGACATTGGACCTTATCGCTGCACTTACCGAAGATGCATAATGATCGTATGAACTTCAAAAATGGAACGTGATGATTCAATGTGATCATCGGATTGCGTCATAAGCCGTACTAAGGAGCTTTGAACCCCATTTGCTCAATGAGAAACAAATATGAAAATAAAATAAAGGTTATTAGTAAGGATGGAAGAAACTGACCTCAAAAGTCATGATGAACCGGTTGCGCTTCAGGTCCTAGGTGACGCTGATGGTAAGATGGCGGTTCGTCGCCGGAACTACAACTGCTGAACATCCCTGACGACTCGAGTTTTTATGGCATTGTGTGAGAGGATTGATCGGGGATCACAAGGGAAAGGGGTGTGGCGAAAGGTTGTGGTGGCGGACGAATGGCGCGCCTAATCGCTGCACATACCTAATCCCTTTGTAGAATATTCTCTACCTCTATTCACCTTTCTCTTTTCTTTCACTCTACTCAGTCTCAATGCTCTTAGTTTCGAGATTTTTTTTTGGTCTCTTACTGTTAAAAAACTTTTGGTAGGAAAATAACTTTTGTACGAAGAAAATAGAACTCAATAACATTTTATAATATAAATATGTGAATTTAAAATTTGATAATAAAAAATAATCTATGCAATTATTTATAAAATCACTTTTAGATTGATTGTTGCCTTGCATAGTTTACGAATGGATTTTCCTTCATTTAGGTCTAAAACTGATACTTCGCAGTAGAGTGGTTCAAATATCGTCAAATCACAAGAGTATTGTACAAATGGGAAAATCTCACAGGCACACAGGAATCGAGATCACAAACTTTTGCTGCATCCGTGATATTTGATCCATTAGTTAATTTACTTTAACTGAATAGTTAATTTACTTTCAGGTACTCTTAAGCGATGGATTGCAAATGCAGGGGTCTGAAAGCAGCTATCTAGACTGGACAGAGATGGCTCCAGTGCATTCTCAACTCATGTTGACCATAGCAGGATCAAATTTCAAAATGTTTACCCCATGTCAACATTTTACTACTTCCCCCCCCCCCCCTCCCTCCCCCGCCCCCCAAACGACTGTCGCACTCCCACCCGCCGCGTGAGTGGAAGTTAACGAGAATTAATAGTAGTTCGGCCACAGTCCAGATGGAGTGAAAAAAAAGTTTAAAATGACAGAAAGCGTGACAAACCATCTTATGTCTTTCACTCTGACTCACATACTCTGCCCCTTTTTTGAAGGGGGAAGGAGGAGATCAATGAATGAGGAAAGGTATTTTTAGACTTTTGGGGAGTAGAGGGCTGAAAGTAGAGGAAGCTCCGCCACTGGTTTCCCTCTTCACTCCCCTCTCCTCTCATTAATCATAGTTTTCCCTTTGGTCCTAGTGCCGCCTGACATGCTAATGTCTTCCTTTGCTTATCTCTCTCGACCCGCGATTCGAACGGATGGACTATACTGAAAGAAGATATACCCTGTTTGCAGTAGAATATACATAATTGTCAATATGTCAACGTATAATTAAGGAAAATTTTCTTGGCCAGTGGAGTCTTCAAGTGGGGTTTCTCATGGGCCTGATACACGAGGCAAGTCCTTGCTTACAAGGAGCCAGTGAGGGTATAGTCGAGTCACTGGGAATAGGGGCAGTAGAAGGAATAGAAAATAAATTAATAATGCGCCATTTAGGGTCTCCCCGGTCTTCGTCGGCGGATTAAGTACTACCGTCAAAGACATGACATTCTGACAAGGATGCCACAAGAGTCTTCCCTTCAGAGCTGAGTACAGTGGTACCTCGCTTTTCACTCGCGAACACCTCGCATAACGAACGCACCGCTGGAACGAATTGCGTTCGTTATGCGAGGTACCACTGTATATATATTTTCTTGCAGTCTTTACGATCTCCTCATGCAAGCAGTTTCATCGTGTGGCGTCCCTATGTTATTCCTGAGAGGCCAACCACTCCTGCTCACATTTAGCATTCCTGCTGTTCTAGTGAATAAAAACTGCCTGTGGCAACCCTGTTTCTCCAAGCTGGAGATTTTCGGAGGGGGCTGTCAACTAGCTAACATTTTATGTTAATGGGCTGACCTATCAAACTCGCCGACCAACTCGCCAAATTCCCAGTGACTCAACTATATATACGGAGCAAGTAAACTCTAGCAAGGACTTGCCTCCACTTGCCCGAAAGTTGTCAAGCATCTGTGAAACGAAGTCGAAAAGAGCGAAAACTCACATTTACTATAGGTGTCAGAGAGATCTTTCGCCGGTCATTGTCTTTGTATTCCTACAGACCTTGACCTATGTCTGGTCTCTGTATACCTGCAGGCCATGATGGTACAGGACCTTTCAGTAAAACTTTGCGAATGAACAGCTTTCGCTCGAGAGAGGTAAGTGAGAAAAAAAAACCTTCTAAAAAACAAGATTCAGCTCACCCTCGATGCAGCACGTTTCGTGAGGTCTCACGATTGGTGGCAATCACGGCTAGGGCAGCGAAATCGGAAGCGATTGCTGCGGGCTCCAACCGTCCGCACGCCCACACTCCAATTTCGTTCTGGCTATTTTTTAGGGGTTCCTCCCGGCTCCAACCAGGGCTTAGGCCCCTCGACTCCAACCAAGTAGAAATAGCAAGGTGCGGTTTACAATGGAGACCCTAACCCGGTGTCTGAGCAGCAGCAGCGAAGTCTAGAACCCTACACCAGCAGTTCCCAAACTGAGGGCGCGATCCACTGGTGGGTCGCGTACATTTTCCCAGTATGAAAAATCACAACATCCGCATCCGTTCAGGAAAAAATATGCCCCGCCAATAAGTCGATCAATTTTCTTCACGACATATGTGCTTTGAAAATACCTCATTCTGGATTCCGGTGGGTCGCGAAATTTTCTGTACGTCAGCAAGTGGGTTGCGATTCAATGAAGTCCGGGAACCGCTGCCCTACACCAACCTCCGTCTCTCTCCTCTCCCTTTCCAGTCTCCAAGTTGAGTTTATATATATACTGTTTTCTACGTCCGTCCATGTCATGGTAAACTCGGACGCCGAGTGGCCAGAAGGCTAGAAGGATGATACTAACAATGGTAACAAGAGATTTGGGGGAAGTGGTTGACCCTTGATCCCTTTTGACAGCAGAATTGTGGCGAAGTAATAGATTACAAGAAGGCCACCCGTTCGTCCTCACTTGTTGCTGTCACAATTCTCCTCTGTTAAAGATAAAGGGACACGCGTGAAGGAGCCGTAGCGATAAATTCCAAGCCCTTCCAGGGCACTAGCCTAGAGGAAGGCAATAAGTCATCGGTGCACTACGCTAGCCTCGTCACTGTAGCTTCCCTCGTTCATTTATAATAATTTTTATTTGGTTCAGGGTCGCGTGACTTTTGGGACACCCTATACCAGCGGTTCCCAAACTGTGTGTCGCGACCCACTGGTGGGTCGCGAGAGGCATCAAGGTGGAGCGCGAACATTTTCCAGTGTAAAAAAATCACTATATCCGCATTCGCTCAGGATTAAACATGCCCTGCAGAAAAGGTCGATTCTGGATTCCGGTGGGTCGCGAAATTGATTAACATCAGCTAGTGGGTCGCGATTCAGAGAAGTCTGGGAACCGCTTCTCTATGCATTGGAGACTCGCATATGAACCTTGGGTGGACTGCATAAAACTGACTTTAGCGTAATGCCAGCTTTAAACCTCCATTAGGGGTGGATTTAAAGCTACTTTAACGGAGATTTTAAATATGGATTGCATAACATTTTTTTTAGCTTAACGCAGGATTAAATTGAGAATTAGTTTAATGCTACGATGACCCTACATTAGCGCCCTGGAGGAACATATCGCTGACTCGACACACTTTCTTACTGCTTCACGGATGTTCACGGACGGTGTTTTATATTTTATATTTATTATATTTAATTTTATATTTTTTCTTGAATGTTTTCGCGGCTAGAAAAAAAAGCAGAAAATGAGCAGCGAATTCAGTAGATGGTCTCCCGAATTCAGCTGAAGCACTTGACGCCCAGCAGCGTGTGTTCCGAGATCGACTTGGAGCGGTACTCCCTTGAAGAAGTGTTGCTGAGGTCCCGGTTCACAACTCTCAGGGCATCCTCGTTTTGGTGGACCCGATCTACAGGGTGTTAAGAAAGTCACTTCCTACTTTAAAATTGTAATAACATTTGTGTTTTTTGGGCTTGAACAATGGTTTTTGTGCAAAAAGAAAGAGAATTTGCTTGAATTTTATGCATCGATTTATTTTTGTTTGCAGTGACCCTCCATGGTGCCAACATTGAATCTTCGACACCGTGCGCAAGTAGCTGCGCAATATGTGGTGTGGAGGCGGAGGAAATGGGAAGCTGCATCCTAGGCGTTCTCCCAGATAACATTTTTCGCGGGATTCATGTTGGTCAATGTGGTCCTTCAACGTCAGGATACTTTGGCCCAGTGTAGGTTATTCACGTAGG